AGATTCATTAGGATTTCAGATTGCCTATCCATAACGTCGGTTGGAACTCCAATAAAATGTTTGATAATATTACAGACAAGAGTAGAAAACCTATCATTTTCTCCTTTCTTATGGACAGCTATAGCAATCTCGTATCTTTCTATTTCAATAAGATAATTAAACCACCAATTTTTAAGCTGTCCCATAAACCCAATAATTAGGTTATTAGTGGTAGATGCTGGAGGGACCTTTTTGGCAATATATGCATTATCACACAGACACGATTTCTAAAACTTGAAGGATTTGATATTCTGTTAATCCATTAATATTCCATTCAGCCACGATTTCTCATCATATATAAATTGAGATTTCATCTTTCTCTTCAAAAAGTAAATCTGGAGAAGTATGTTAAGGATAGTAAGGCACTCTTGAATATTGATTCTTTTGACCTCTTAATTTATTGATATGAGGAATTTCATCATCAATAAATTGAGATTGAAGTTCATCAATAGTATTAATATTGTTTGAACTAGAAGATAACTTGGATAACTAAGCAGCAAGTTCTTTTAGAACTTTAATCTCATTATTAAGATTTCCTATTTGAGGAACCATGCTATGTGATCTGAATAAAGAATTGATATGTTTTTTTTTTTTTTAAACAATTTTTGAAGAGGATGATGCTTTGAATCAGAATTAGTTTCAATTTTGCTAAGTTGAGAGTACTTAGATTGTATAACAATATTAGTATAATTGTTCTGAGCTTGAATATTTTTTTGCAACGACTTCAGATTCGTCTGGTTGTTTAGAAAATATTTTCTTGAGAGGGGAAGCAAGAATTTCTGAGTTTCCTTGGGAAACAATTATTTCTTATATAGAAGGATGATGAGTTTGAAAGGTATCACCAAAAGTTGTTTTCCAAGTCTTTTTTGGAGTATTAGTATTTTGAACAGTTTTTGTTTCAATGAACTTTTCATTGTAAACATTGAAATACACTCATAAAAACTTAAATCTTCTGGAAAAAAGTAAAATTCTTCCCAGAATGATTCAATTTTTTCTTTTGAAAAACTTTTTTGAAGCATTTTTCTAAAACTTTTGGCAATAGGATATTGATTAGTTTTAAACTCACTTCTTCTATCAATTGTGGAAGAAATAATATTACATTACTGATCTAATCTTTATGAAGGATTAGGCATCATATTTGATAAATTTGAAGAACCAGGCTGTTTTGATTCTTCATCCTTATCAGTACTATATTGAGCTTTTGGAATATTATGATGAAATCAATTCCTCTTAGAGAGGATATTGAAAATCTTGAAGATTGAAAAAGAATATCTCTAGATCGGTCTTCACATCTACATGAATATGGTCTCTATAGACTATTAGAAGATGATACTTTAAAATCATCTTAATATGTCCATCAAGAAAAAGAAACAATTTGATTTGGCGTTGTTCGAGTAATAGGAGGAATTGGGTTTTTAGAATGCTCAAAATCCCATTCCAATTATCCAGATTGAAGGTTCCATGGTACACACACACTGAATGCTACGAAATATATGTATGTGAGTCCTAAAAATATATGAATAAATTAATGTTTGATTAGCCTTTTTTAAGAGAGAATTTTTTAATAAAAATATTTCTTTTAAGAATATGTGGTTAAAAAATAGTTAAAAATTACAAATCAATGTAGAACTTGTGATTAAAAATAATTTAAATGGAATTTTTGAAAAATCTCTACAAGCAAACTTTAAATTTTGCACATTCAATGATTTTGTTTGCCAATAAATGAAACCATTTATTACTTTGCACCTATTTATCTCTTGTTTGTGTGAATTAAAATTTTAAGTCAAAGTTAACAACTAATTTTATCTTATATTTTATGGAATTCATAACTTTTCAACCACATATTTTATTAATTTTTATCAAAATTCATTAAAAATTCGATTTTTAGCTAGCTCAATGATGTTGCTAATAACAAAAACTATTTAAGGTTATGTTTAAGCTCAATTTCAGTAAAAATGAATTTTGTAGTAGTAGTAGTAGTAATAATAATAATAATAATAATAATATTATTATTATTATTATTATTATTATTATATTATTATTATTATTATTATTATTATTATTATTATTATATTATTATTATTATTATTACTACTACTACTACTACTACTACTACTACTACTACTACTACTACTACTACTACTACTACTTTTAAAATGTATGGTTAAAAAATAAAAAATAAAAAATAGGTTTACCAATAAAATATTTTATTAAGAGAATGCATAGTTAAAAATGAGTTTAAAAAAATAAGGATGCATTTGGTTTGTTTCTATTTTTTATTTTCAGTTTTGAATTCATTTTTAGTTTTCTATTTTGAGGGATTATTTTTGAATTATAGAAAACGTATTTGGTTTCTCATTTTGAAAAATGGTTTCTCAAAATAGAAAAATAGAAAATGCGTCTGGTTTAAAATTTTTAAAAATTGTTTTATGACATTTGTTCAATTAATTTGATTATTTAGTAAAACATAATAATTTTATGCTAATATATTACCATATAATATATATTTTAAACTTGGTGAATTTACTATTTTTTCTTGCTACAAAAATAAAATAATAAATAAATTTTAGAAATTGTTTTATGATATTTATTCAATTAAATTAATTATTTAGTAAAGCATAATAATTTTATGCTAATATATTATCATATAATATATATTTCAAACTTGTCGAATTTACTATTTAAAAGTACTACTTAGCATCCTCTGGATAAAAAAAGAAAAAGGAAAAAAAAGACATGTTTTGAGTATTTTTCGCGTTTTGAGTTTTTTTAACTGAAAACACTCGAAGCGAAAAAAAATCGTTTTGAGTTTTCAATTATAAATTTTTCCTTATTTTCGAAAACGAGTATCCAAACACATTTTAGACATATTCGAAAACCAAAAAACAGAAAACAAATAAAAAAGGCAAACCAAACGCGCTCTAAGTTTTTCAATAATGGGACTCAACAAACATGAACTAAATTTGTGAGTGAGTTTAGATTTCTATATTTAAAGAGTCAAATTAAATATTTATTTTAAAAAGCTAAAATAAAAGGGATTTTTGAAATTTATTTTTAATCATTAGCTCTTTAAAATTAAGAACATTTTATATTTAGAGAGTCAATTAAGATGCTCTAAATATTGTTTAAGCCTCATGTTAAAATTTCTTTTTCTTCTTAAACTCATTTTCAACTATATATTCTCCAATAAAATAATTTAAAATGTGAATCTAAAAATTTTTCTTACTTTTTAATCATATAATTATAAAAAAATCACTATTATGAAATCAATATTTTTATTATTTTTATTTTTTTTGAAAAATGAGCTCAGACAAGGGCAAATAAGCCCTTGTTTGAGCCCTCTTTTTTCGCAATTTATTTTTTCAAAATTTATTTTCAACTACACATTATTTAATAAAGTAATTTTACACTTAAATCGAAATTTTTTTCTTATTTTTCTACAACACATTTTTAAAAAATCACTATTTCAAAATATATTTTCCCTCTAGAATAGGAATCAAACAAGGGCTAATTATTTGAATGCTTTAATTTTTTATCTTATTCAAACCACATTTAGAGGCCGTTTGAGAGTAATTTTCATCCCAAATAATTGATTTTTTGACCGTTACTTCATTATTCTAGCCATAAAGTTTGACTTTTTCTCTTACAGGTGGTCTCCATTTTTCTCCTAATGGTTAAAAAATCAATTCTCAAAATCACTTTCCAATGAGGCCTTAGATTGATTTTCATTCTCATCTAAAAAATTACAATAAATAAAATATGAGAAAAATCAATAAATATTTATTAAAAAATGTAGTGTTGGGCCTGACCCAAGGCAAGTGAGGCCAGTGCCTTGGGCCTCATATTGTAGGGGGCCTCATGTCTTATTAAATAAAAAAAAAAGGCATTGTGACTGATTCAAACAGAAAGCATTACAAGTGATTGGGAGTTGGGACAAGGATTTGAAAAGTTTATGTACAAGCATTTTCTGATTTTGATTCTTGACAACTTTCCCTCTCTCTATACATATGTGTCTGTGTGTGGATATAATCCTGATCTTTAAGCACTTATGACACCATATTAAGTAAAAGTAATGAAGCTGCAAAAAAAATTATTGAGTTATTTAGCACTGAGTCTAAAGGTAAAAAATGTATAGACCAGAGATTTAAGCTTTAATTTACACGAAGATCTTTTTATGAAAGTGAAAGTATATCTTATAAATTATTTAGTTCATTTTCTTATCATTTTATGTCTTCTTTTTCTTCAAATTTAATTTGGATAAACGTGCTCTAATTACGTTCCATATTTTTTGAAATATTTTTAGTTTTTTAAGTGTAAGAAACATTTCTTTTTCCATTCTATCTACTAATATAAAAGTGTTAATTATTTAAATATTTACATATTGTTAGACTTCTAAAATAAATTTTGTGTCAAGGGGCCCCATAATAATTAAACGCTTAGGGCATCTAAATTCCTAGGGCCAGCTCTGGAAAAATGTAAAATAAGAGCTTGTCTATAATGAATAAAAATATTCTTAGCTCATGTTTGGACTTCATTTTAATTTAATGTACTTTTTTTCATTATTGAATTTCATACATTTTTTAATAAAATAATATCATACATAAACCCAATTTTTTTTGAAGTTTGTCAATGCAGTTACCTAATTCAAAAAGGGAGCAGATGATTTGATAAAAAAGTTGATTATTAGTCTGCCCATGTTTGAACCACATTTTAGGAAAAAATGTACTATTCATGTGAAATTAATAGAAAATATGTGGTTAAAAATAAGAAAAAGTTTTAAATTTACGTATGATATTATTTTATTGAAAAATATGTGATTGTAATGATGTTAAATTATTATTAAAGAATGTATTTTTTTAAAAGTTTTGTGGTTCAAACAAGCCTTAAACACGAAATACCATGTCGAGTTACGTTAAGAATTATGTTCCTGATTCAAATTTTCTAAAGGGGTAAGCCATTGTTTGGGTTTTTTAGAATATTGATTTATAAGTAGTGTATCGTTAAAAAAAATTTCTACTTGTAACCTGGAGGTGGTTCTCAGACTTTTTCAGCTGCCAATTTTACTCTTGAATCTTGATTCAAATCCATTTTACCAAATATTTCAGGTACGGCAAAATTCAAATCTTTGCATCGTCTCCGTGTGTCTATGCATCGTGTTGTCTCCTTTTGTATGTACGTGGTGAATTAACCAAATTTTATACAACAGAACCATAACGTGTTTATGACTTTTTCCCCTACACGTACTAGCCTTTAAATTGTTTAGATAATAATTGATTGCAATTAATTTCTTGGGTCTTTGTTTTCCCTTTCTTTAAATTCCTGGAAATGTGAGTTATACCCTTTTATTTTTTATTATTATTTTTTTTTATTTTTACGGAGGAGGGTTTTTTATGCTGGACATGTATGTAGGTAAAATGGAAAACTCAAACTTGAATGCAAACCAGCAAAAGAATCAGCTCCCAGAAGCGGATTCGTTGCCAGATGGATTTGTGGACAGTTCCTCGGCAAAACCATTGGCTCCCGGGGCTCCTGGACCTGAGCAGGAAGTGACTTCTAAAGAGGAAAAATTAGTGAAATCCGATTCACTGGCTGAAGTAGTAGTAAATGATGGTACGAGTACATCTCAGGATAAATCATTGGAAATTATGGGCAATCAAAATGATCAAGCAGTAACTATGGCAGGATCAGCGGATGCTGGGGCATCTTCTGGGGAGCGACACATTGAAGAGAAATGTAATTGTTTCATTTTCATTTGTATCTGCTTGATTTTCATTCAATGCAGTTATGTGGTTTCTCTAATAAGTTTTTGATCAAATTGTTTGACTTGTGCTTTATGATTTGGTAGAATGTAGAGGGCTAATAACACGATAAAGCAGGTATTTTGTGGATGGAAACAATTATTATCGATTTTCCTGATGATGATAGATTACTTTGGGCTGCTTTTTAAGTCTTGATATATCTTTTGTTCTGATTCCAAGGCTGCAATCAAAGCTATAGGTAATAGGAGATTATAGAAAGAAAGAATAGATGGCCTATTATAAATGGAAGTCGGAAACCAAAAGAAACTTTTTGATCAATCATTCCTATGACTTTACTACCTACATTGACCACTGGCATTTCTAGTGTGTGCATCTCTCTCTTTTTGCAACGTGTAATGTCGGACACTTTTTGTTGACAACTAAAATTGTTTGCCACTTGTATATTAAGCTGATATTTACCCTAAAAAGCTCTTAAATACACAGCAGCCTATCCCATGCAAACTGGAATTACTTGACTTTTCCAAACTGCACATTGGCTTTACCCTGTTGATACAGGGGATTGAAAGTTATACTCGAAAAGAGTATGAAACCATAACTGAATGACCATCAGGTCATCTCATCTCATTTTCCACATACTTTATGCAATTATTAGAAGCGTAATATATTCTTTAAAAGTTTAAAGTAAGTGGGTACAATCACTTTCTTGCTAAGGACATCTGGCAGAAAATTTGGGTGTTATAAGGTAACTTGCCTCTGTTTTTATTTTGAGCTGTATCATTCTATCACTAGTCTTATTGACGTGTTTGTTTAGTTTACAACAATATTCAGATGCATTGATGCAAAGGATGATTCAAATTATATGTTTTAGCTGCAAGTATACACTTTGTCAAGCACTTCCCTTTTGTATGTGATTGTTAAGTTACTCTCATAGCCTCTCTATAGTCTAATTTTCCGATATAGACTTTCTGTAGTATGCCAACAATTACACTGATTGAGGAGGAAGTACTGGAAGAATACTTTATACTTTTAGGGCATGTATTGAGTGGAAAGAGAGAAACTTATGTTCATAAAAGCAGTCAATCCAATTAGAGTATGTTGAAAGAGTGAGGAGTAGATCAATATTAGCATGATATGAAATGGTTGCAAAATATATGGTTTATTAGATTTTTCCTGTATACATAGCCCTTTAAAAGATCCATGCTAACTGACCCCATGTTTATAGGGAATGAAGTTTAGCTTGTTGATGCACATATGATTTTACTATTCATTTTTCTGACATTTTTAAGTATGTTTCTTTTCTATTTAGCAGCTGTTGTAAAAGGCATAGACTCACATCCAAAGGAGGCTCCTATTGTAGTAAGTACTGAAATACAAAAATTAGTCAGTAGTACCACTGTCTGATACGTATTTATTGACTTTATATATGCCTCTTTTTGCTGTAATTCTGCCTCTTTTTGCTGTAATTCTCTTTTGGTATTTTATGTGCCGTATATTTTTCATTCTGTGGGATATTCATAAATTGTGCTTTGATTATTAGAGTTTGAGAAGGGTAATGTAGAGGAGGTGAATAGATGACTCATGTATTTTGGCAAAAAATGTGCTTAAATTAATAAAGCAGATTCAGAATATGATACAAGAACTGCACATGACATTGAATTTGTCTTGTATTTGAACAGGTTCATTTGATTTCAAATTTCCAATTGAAAAAAAGCTTTTGGCCGTTTTCCCTAAATCCTTTCGTTCAGTTGTTCAAAGAATGATTGAAAGTGTTTAATGACTGAGATCAAAAGCAATGAGAATGTAAAGATAACCTGAATTGCTTATTGTGAATTTCATTTACAAGCTTTCTACATCATAATGTTTTTAAAGTTTTTGTAGGAAGCGAGTGTTCATCAATGCGACTAGTCAAGTATGTTAATAAGTGTGACATTGTAGCTCTTAATGATGCTGCAAGTGATGTTAACCTAGATTTATGTCACGTGACTTAAAAAAAATATGAATTTGAAAGTCAAAAGCACAATGGTTTAGAAGTGACGGAAAATGGACATGTTCCAACTTGATTATATTTTGTTTTGTTCAATAGCCCTACATTCCTTTCACCCTTAGGGAATTTCCAAATACTGCTCTAGTAATATCAGCAGCAGCAACCTCTGTTTTCTTCTGGAAGGTCGATCCGTTTACAATGACATCAAGCCTGATCTTTTTTTCGACTATCAGTCAAACAACATTAGTCTTTTTCTCTTCCCGTTGTAAGATCAATCCAACCTGCAATGCAACAACCTCCTATGTTCATGTAAGTTTTGTCCAATGCCACGAAGTTTTGTGTACAACTTCTTAGATCAGAATATAACCAGCTTGTTTGTCCCAGCTCCCCGCTAGATGCCTCCAATTAATCTGATATGCAGAAAACCTATGTAGCACGGACACTCTAACTAGGGTAGCGTGTCCGTGTCCGACACGTGTTGGAAGAGTGTCGGTATAGTCGGATATGTGTCGATACCGACACTTTTCGGACACTCTACAATAATCATTTTTCTTTCTTACTATAATTATTATATATTTTTAACTCAAAGTTTTTAATAAATAACAAATAAGTACTCATATTTAAAAGATTTCAACAAAAAAGAATCAATAATAAGTATAAAACTAAATTTAAACTATATAAATGAAGAATTTTAAAAATTTAATGGACGTGTCAACGACGTGTCGTGTCGGTACTTTTTTGAAAAATCACGAGTCGACGTGTCTGACACGTATCATGTCGGACATACGTGTCCGTGTCGGTGCATCATAACAGAAAACTATGTAAAATTACACAACAATATGCCCTGCTTACCAACAATTCAGACTTTGATATGATCGATAGAATGAAAGCAAACAGATTGATGTTTAAGATGTGACAGCACTAGCTAGAGATAAAATGTGAAAGCAAACAGATAAGCTCCAGAACATCTATTTCTGACACTGAAACCTCAATAGTGCTTATGGATGTATGAAAGTCCTGAATCAACCCTTTGTTTCCTTCTTAATTAAAAGATTTTAGTATCGGGTTAGTTTGATGAAAGCTTTATGGAAGATATTGGATGCATAAGGTTTCAATGCCTTCAGTTAGCATAGGAGTGGACTGTATTCATAGAAACATACCCACTATTAGTGAGAAGGAAAAGAGCTAAATTTCTGCAAAATATGATTATTGAATGGAAAGAACAAAATAAATTTCTCTCTCAGAGGTTGAAACAAAGGATCATGTAAGCTTAACACAACGTGGAAATGTCAACTATCAGGTTGAAAGAATATTTTTAATCATTCAGAAGTTTAGATGGTGTTACTCACTGGGATAGAATTAGATGAAATGGAAGGTCATAACATGAAGTTTCTTCTGGAAGATTTCAAGTTACTGGAAAACCTGTTCTAAATGGAACACATTTCCGATGTCTGAAATTTAGTTTCAGACTTGTGAAAGTTTGTTTCTTATGTCTGTATGTGTTTTGACTTTTGAAACTTCGAAGCAGTGTCTTATTCTTAAGGTTAAGACATCAAAAATGTTACCTGATATTTGAAAAGAAAATTCAAGCTTGTGGAATGGGTACAAAACTAAAAATGAGAAAAGAAGACTTGAAAGATGAAATGACCATATGAGAACAAGAATCCTAAGGCAATTGAGTGTCATTTACTTAAAATTTGGTTCTATCAATGTGTCCTCAATCAACCTTTGGGGAAGTCCCGCTAGCCTAGTTTCATCGAAATGGTTTTCCATAATTTAGCACAAGTCAACTATGTTTAAGATTCTTGTGGTATAGGATGTGTAAATTTTCAATATTCTAGTTTTATTGATTTGACTGTTGAACTATGAGCTTCAGAAAAAACATGATCTTCTTTTCTAGTTACAGATAGCTAAAATGGTTGTGAATATCTGAAACTTGTTGTTTTTGAAAATTCTCTGTTAGCACTTTGTTCTTCTGGTTTCTTTGACTTCACCTACTGTTGCTTTGACTTGAAAGGATTCATCCTTTACTCTCTTAGACTTCTTTTCTGTCAGTTGTCTTCATAATGCATTTCACAGAGTTCAGTAAAGAATTTTTCATCGTCATGTGATTATTTGTCTCCACTCTATTTCATTACATTGACCGTTGAACCCTGAGCTTCGGAAGAAACATGATCCCCTTTTCAAAGTTATGAATAGCTAAAATGTTGTGAATATCTGAAGTATGTCATATTTGGGGTTGTGGGCCATAGGGTTATTGTATTATGGGATGTAGGTTTGGGGAATTCTGTTTAGAGATTTGGTTTGTTGTTGGGCTGGGTGCATAATAATGGAGTAATGTGTGTGTTACTGATGGGTTGTCGGTTGTTTATAATAGGATGGGCTATGGGTTGTTAAGTGGGTTATATGTATGTGTGGATTGGTCTGTTGATATTAGGGGTGGGCGCGGATCGGTTCGATTTGATTCTAAAGAGAACCGAACCGAACCAAAATTTTCGGGTATTTAGTAAATGGAACCGTCGGGTCCAAATATAATTATAGAACCGTTCGGGTTCGGTTCCGTTCCATTCGGTTCTGTACTATAATTAAAATTTTTAACATTTATAACAACATTATATAAATACAACTAATGATACATTTAATGGTTTTGGAATGTCAGAGACTAGTAGACTACCTTGTTCAAATGATCGCTATGGTCAAAGTTTTGGTCAGTGGAGGTCATAGCGTCGGCCGATGATTGTATAGCTTTTGGAATGTTAGCGAGGTTACGAGAGTGAGTGCAAGAGTCGAGACAACGTTATATACTTTAGTGTAGGTGTTTATGGTTATTTAGTGGATTGTATCTTGTTGGACTAAGAAATGAAACAATAAAATGGATAATTGGGCCAAAGATAAAAAAAATTAGAAATGAAACAAATTATTGGGCCAAAAATTTGGATTTAGAAATTGTTAATTTGTTTAGAAAAAATTAAAATTAAAATAATTTGATTTACTCAATATAAAAAAAAAATTAGAAAAATTCGGTTCTTTTTCGGTTCTTCGGTTCTTGGTCTAGAACCAAGAACCGAACCGTACCCGTCGGTTCTGAATTCAGATACACGTTCGGGTATTTAATTTGACAAGAACCGTTAGGTTCGGTTCGGTTTGGGTTCGGTTCAGGAGATTTACCCAGCCCTAGTTGATATATATGAAGTGGTAGTGAGATGGGTTATTTGTCGACTGAATGAGCTAGGTATGGTTACTTGAATTTTGGGTCTGTTTCTAGTGTTTATGGATAGGTTGTTTTTGTTTTGGAGCAGCAGATGGACAACAGCAAGGCACGATAAGTTTTTTTTTTTTTTTTGGGAGGGAATAATAGAAAATCAACTCAGCTAATGCCATACCTGTGAATAATTCCTGTGTTCACGACATTTTTAAGAAGCTGAAAAAGCTTTTCGGCTACTGCTTTTGCTCCTTTTTGTTTTGGTTTTAGTATAATAAGTAGCCTGTTTTCATGTGAACAGCATTGGTGATTTTGGCATTAAAGTTCTTCAGGATGCTTGCATTCTTCTGCAGATCTATGACTCTTTTGGATATTGTTAATTAATTTCTTAATTTGAATTTGATCTCCCATCTTCATGTTTTGAATGTAAACTCAACCAGCTGGAAGTGAATTGCTCAAGTCAAACACTTAATTCATTTGGACGTCTATCCTTCTTGTTGTGCTCTTCGATGTCATCTTTGGTTTCATCTTCTGTCTTCATTTGGATGTAGATGTTTGTTTCTGTTGTACATCTGTTGCTTTTCATGCATTTTCTTTTCCGTAGCCTGGTCGACACGTTTGTATGGCATTTTTTCTTGTACAAATGTCTGTAATGATTGTGGGCATCTGAAACTCTCATGACTATTATTTTTCAATTCTGGAAGCACAAAACGAAGATACATTATCAATAATGAGAATCTGCTCTTTTGGGATCGTCCAAACTTAATGAATTGAAGGGATCTAAATCCAACTGTGTGCCACTTTTGGTATCACTGGAACTTAATGATTGAAGAAATCTAAGTCCAACTGTAAATCCAATACAAAATTTTCAATTTGAAATGATCGCTTTAAATTTTCTTCTTCTTCTTCTTCTTCTTTTTTTTTTCCGTGTCTGTTTATGCAGGTTTTAATATTGTATGTCTACTATGTCATATGGCAGGAGGCCTCTGTAGTGAAGCGTAAGGCTGTAAAGCGTACCTTCAAATCGGAGAAGGAATTTTTGGAATTCACTCTGAAGTACCAACAAGTTCTTGCTGAAAGAGATTCTGGTAGCTGATTGTCATTTTCTCCATGTGCTTTGCATTTGTTTGATTGGCTTAACTTATTATTATTATTTTTTTTAAATTTTTTTTATTTTAAAATGTTTCTTGACCTTTTTGGAGTTTCTGGTATCCAATTATCATTTAAAACTTACACTGCGCATCTTTATTTGTTTAATTTTAATGTTTTGTTTTATCAACATTTTTTAGTTCCATCAAACTGCTTATTTGCATATATGCTTGTAATATGTAATAGGACCTTGCTACATGTCAATCAATGTTTACATAGGGATTACATAATGTTTACATGACATTTTAGCATTTGTCAGTTTAAAATACAGTTTACTTCTTCATTTAATCTTTGCCCTCCATATCATTTTCGGTAATTGTTTATGTATCATTTTTATGTACAAATAGCAAAATCCTATGCAATTTATTGTTATGACAGTCTACAGATCCTAAAAAAAATAAAATTAAACTTAATAACAATTGGTTGATCTGGCATATTTATCTATAAATTTTTGATAAATTAGCTTCGTATTCTCAGACAGCAACCTCTTTTTATTAGCTAATTTATATACTCTCTTCTGCAGCCATTGCTGTTAGAGATAAACTTGAGTCATTGTGCAGGGAGCTACAGCGTCAAAACAAAATGTTGATGGTATTCTCTTGGTTTATGCACCATATCTGCTTCAGTTTATGTTTTTGTCTAGATATTCAGATTGGAATTTTCTATTGTCATTGACAAGCATTTGAGAATAAATTAAGAGCATTTTACTAAATTAGTGTATTATGGGGCTGTATTTGTAAAATGAAGATATAGAGATTCCAGAAGATGTGATTGATTACTTCAGGGAGAGCCTTTAAAGTCCCAAGTATTTGACATTTCCCCCCTTGTATCTTGATTTAATTGCTCTTTCTTCACCTCCTGTGCAACGACAGAAATTGGAAATACTAGACTTAACGTTGAGCTGTTTTAATTATACTCCTCAATTTCACGGGTATTTGTACCTTAGATAGATTCTGTTGGAGGTGGCCACAAAGTTTAATTTTTGTTTCTATGGCTTCTAAAGGGAGTAGTGCACTTGATCATTAACTGACTTCCATTCTATGGAGGAAATAATGAGGCATTCAGATTAATTTATATTCTCAGGTGTAGAGCAAAACATGTAGGATCAAATTGGTAACATCTCAATGCATGTATTTACTGCTGCATATTATTGGAAGGTAAATCTTATAATCTTCATTTTTTCAATCCCTGGTCCCAGTCTTGAATGAGCCTTTAGTGCTATATTCGAAGGTAACCACATTTTTTTAGTTCTTTCTGTTCCATGCCTTTGTTGGTCCTGCTATGTATAGACCTGAAGGTATCCATAACTGTCCTGTACTTCTGTATTTCTTGAATAGATACACCATCAACCATCCTAATGGTGTCTATTGATACTTTCACATTGATTTGCCTGTGTATTCCTTGGTTATGGTGAGGATGTTCATATTACTATGCTGGATTATTTTTTTGTAGCGAAAAGAACCGGCAGAGGACAATCCAAATTCTTAACGTTTTCTTCATATCATATATGTTCCATATTCTCGTTAGAACTGATTTCTTTGGGTTCCATCTTCAAATTCCTCAGATTTAGGTTCAATTGTTTGCAGATTCTTGAAACTAGCAGTAAGTAACGATAAATGTACCTTAAGAACAGTGGTTGTATTCTACATGTTTGTAGATATGGGAAGTGATTATTAAAATTTTAATCTAGTAATGGTAATTTTGACTTTTAATTTCACCATTGCTTGTTATGATATTGTAAGTTTTAGTGCTAAGAACCTTTGGTAGCATTTAATTAAATTTGCAATTACATGCAGTGTATTGTATATCTCATGATTTAAAAGAGTCATCACATGGCTGTTCCCATTCTTACTCCAGTTATTAAATCTAGTATGCAGCTGTAAATTTCTGTTTCTGTTTGTGTTTAACTGTTGATTGGTTGTTTTATTGATGTTGTAACCAATGGGAACTTCTCATTATTTTGCAGGATGAATGCAAGCGAGTGTCAAATGAGGGCCAAGATTTGAGATTAGATCTATCAAACAAGTTTCAGGATGCCATCAAGGTTGCGGTTCTTTTAAGTATATGGTTTTATTCTACTTCATTTCAGCTAATAAATTCCCATCAATTCTGCCCCTGTTTGAGCCCCATTTCTAAATCCTCATTTTTCCTCAACTCATTTCAATCACACATGCTCCAAATAAAATAATTTTGCATGTAAACCCAAAATTTTCCGTACTTTTTAACTACTCTTTCTCCAAAAAATCACTATTACAAAACTCATTTTCACAACAAAATGGGGCTCAAACAGGGGCCCTGTTTAATCTCGAATCTGCATTCCGATCTATTTATCATTGTTTGTCATCATCCTCATAATCATCACTATCACAATCAGCATCATCATCTTAATCTTCAATTTGACGAGTATGCGTGTACTCATTTTACCATGGTACAAATGTTTTAGTTGTCAACTGTATTGTATTGCTTAAAGAAGTTAGACCCCAGGAGCTGGAGAAATTTGACTTGTTTATGATTAAATGCAGAAGCAGATTACTTGTAGAGTGCAAATAAGGAGACATTGACAGTAGTTCTGAGATGGGAGGAAAAAATGAGAATGAGAAAGTTCTAAATTATTTTATCTGCATGAATGATGACATGTAGAACAGCAACCGCAATATTACCTATTGTTGTAAAAGTACAAGTTGACACCAATTTGTTGAGAGGATTTGATGAATCTCAAACGAACTAAAGAAAATAAAATTTAGGATAGAAGTTTAAGAGAAGAAAATTGTATTCTTAAACTCAACTTCTATGATTCAAATTTTTTATGATGATGATATGCTACAAATGAGTAACCTTTTTATACTATATTTGTGGTATGTAAAAATTAATTCCTAATAAATGAATTTAAAGACCTATTAAAATTCTTAGATACACGAATAAAAATAAATTCATCGATGAAATTTTAGATTCATGTAGATCAAGATTCATCAAATTCATCAAGTCTAGATTAATATAAATGTTAATTAAATGTGAATCAATAGCACGAAATTCATACAAGACAAATATTTTGTATTATTTATTACATATTGAAAAATGAAAAGTAAGTATTATTGAAATAATTGAATTGCAGTATGGTTAAAATTGTCCAAAAAAGATTTTCACTTGATGTGATATTTAATATATTATAGATTTGCTACCTTCTGATATTCACATTGTTGAACTTGGTTGTTTCGCCTTCTGTACTTGCTTTCTTTCTCTCTTATCTACCTCTCTCCTTCTCAATGTAGTTACATCCGTTTGTTTGATTTTTTGTTTCCTAGTTTTAAGGCATCTCCTCTCTTTCCAGGCCACTATGATTAGTCAGGTTATCTTAGTTCTTCTTAAGTACTATTAGCTGCTTCCACTTCCTTATTACGGTTAGTCACTTGAACTTGGTTCCTTGTGGTGCATAAAAGATGTAAAATTTCGTTAAAACTTAACAATTGTTTCCCAGCCCATTGTACATTGTGATCCAATCTCAAACTTTAACATGAACTTTTTACGGTATAAGTAATAGTTTTTTGATGCCACAACAAATTAGCAAGGCTTAAATGCTATTTTTAAGGGCATATATTACATGTTCAAACTTGGCCTTATAATGTGTGTTATAGAATTGGCTGCAAGGGTGAAAGAAATTGAACTGGGAAACCTTGTGGCATAAGCCAAATCCTTAGCACTTTCTTGGAAGGATTTGTGCTTGAATAATGCATCTGTTATTTATTTTCTGTAAGACCGGTCTTTTTTATTTTCATATACTTTTTATCTTACTATATTGTAGGAAGTAAGCAGTAAGCTGGAGCAGCAAAAAGATGATTGTCTAACCCAGCTGAAAGAGAATGACATGTAAGCCTATGAAATCCTCCGCATTTCTTTTAGATGTATTTAAGACCTTATAAGTAATGGTTACATTTGTAAGTGCAATTTTCATGTGCCTGAGTGATATCAAACTGGGGTACGGGAAGATGATAATCTGTGCTTACCGAACCAGTTGGCTGAAGGGGGGAAAAAGGAATTGTTCATGACATCAAATAGCTTAAAGTGAAATTTCTTGTTAATTAAAGGAAATGCCTAAGTTAGACTCCATCCTTGGTATATAGTTTGCTTTAAGCATTAACACTTGAATCTTCATGTATGTTATTTAAAAGTGTACTTGGTATACCAACATGATTTATAAGTCCCTTTCCATCATTTAGATTTCCATCATTTAGACTGAATAGCTATGTAATAAATCAAGCCGAAGATCATTTTCATAAAATAGGGATACAACGTATTTCATATTGGACATTTTTGGTTTATTGCTTTGAGCACAGGATTTAATCCATTGCCTAATTTTCCTCTTATTTTGCTTAGGTTTTTCCCCCTAAAAATCACTGTGTCATCTGCCGTCCATGTGATACCACATTTGGTTTATTTCAGTCAAACGTGTGTTATAATTTTGAGATATGGTCTATCTCTATATGTTATTTTGTTCTCTGCTGTGGTCAAATATAAGCATTCAACTTCTGCTCCACCCTAAGGAAAGCCATATTGTTGCATATTTCAATTTTGACTGGCAGGATACTTGCATAAATGTTTTCTCATGGAAGGCAGAGTTAGAAATATGAAAAGTTAGACAATAATGTAATTCTCAGTTCTCATGGAGGGAAGAATCAGGAATAAGGTTAAACACGCTATTAGTCACCAAAATTGTATGGGTTGATTTTTGATTTATTTTTTATTTTTTAATTTGGTCATGAAACCCTTTTTTCATGTTCTAAATTAGTTGCTGAAATTTCATTTCTGTTTTTGCTTAAGCATTCCGTATTCCTGTCTTATGATGCTTCGACTCGAGTATCGGGTACTGGCACATATATAAGTGTCGGATTTTTTATTTTCTAAAATGTGGGATATGGGACATAGCTAAAAAGAGTCCAAATTTCTGATATGGGTTTGTGGGTACGCCTTTCAAGCTTTAATTTTTTTCTAAACCAAGATGTCATTTTGAATCGATAAGAAACAATTGTTCGCAAAAATGAGTATTGAATAAAGGGTTAAGACGAATAAAATAGAATTTAGGGGTTTAATTTTCAATTATGGGAAGTTAATTACTAAATGTTAAATATAATAAAAAATGAGGAACTTGATTGCAAAATTTAGATTTAGTGGAGCACTAAGTAGCATTATATGCTATGATGCTCGGACTCGGGTATGGGTATCGGGTACGGGTACATATCTAAGTGTCAGATCTTTTATTTTTTTAAATGTAGGGTACGGGGACATGACCAAAAAGTGTCCAAATTTCGGACACGGGTACGCGAGTACGTCTTTCAAGTTTCAATTTTTTTACCAACTCAAGATGTTATTTTGAATAGACCAAAAATAATTATTCACAAAGAAGGAAATGAGTATTCAGAAGTGGTCAAGATGAATAAAGTAGAATTTTGGGATTTAGTTTTCAATTATGAAAAGTTATTTATTAAATGTTATATAAAATAGAAAATGAGGGACTTGATTGCAATTTAGAATTAATGGAATACTAAATAGTACTATATGAAACTCATTTTCATTTTATACAAACAAAACCCTAAACCACCAATACAGAAAGGGAAGGAAGGGAAAAAAAGAAGAAAATGGAAAGAAAAAAGAAAGAAGAAGAATGAGAAAACCTAATGCTATTGCCTTTCTCCATCCTTTCAGAAGCAACGTTAGATTTATAGAGAGTAGAAACGAAAAGAAAAAAAAAGAAGCAAAAAGGGCAAAGTGTCCAATTGAAACTTGAAGGATCTGACACATATCCCATACCCATACCCATGTCGTGTCGTGTTCGACACGGGTACTCCCACCATTTCGAAGAGTCTGAGCATCAAAGATTATATGGAACTCATTTTCATTTTATACAAAACAAAACCCTGAACCACCAATACAAAGGAAAAGAAAGGAAAAAAAGAAACAAGAAGAAAGGGAAAGAAAAAAGGAAAGAGGGAAAACCTAGCGTCGTCAACTTTCTCCATCCTCTCGGAAGCGGCGTTAGGTTTATAGAGAGTAGAAACGGAAAATAAAAGGAAAAGAAAAAAAGCTGTAGCAAAAAGGGCAAAATGTCCTGTTGAAATTTGAAGGATCTGACACATTCCATACTTATACTCATCTCATGTCATGTTTGACACAGGTATTCCGACCATTTCGAAGAGTCCAAGCATCAGATCCCGTGTCTACTAAATTAATGAAAATGCCATCATTGTGGACAAAATATAAGACATGACACGAAATATCCATTGGTGTATTTTTTGTTATTTTTTTTTTTATCATCCAATTGGACAATATGCATCTTACTGAACTAGTTCTTCCAAAGTACGTTGTTTCAAGTAACAAACATAATAAATGAAAAATGATTATAGATAAAGATAAATCTTAGCCTCGGTCTGTGAAGAATTTATAAATAGATAGAAAAGAGGGGTGGATAAGTGAATAGTACTTGTGGCTTCATTGGAATATGTGGTTGAAAATGACATTTGACCAATTTATAAATGATTTATAAATTTGCCTAAGGGCTTAATCTTCTTGCCCAATCCCCCTGTAGCACCCCACCCTATCCCCATTGCCATTGTGGCCACCACCACATGAGCATTTTCATTAATTAGTAGAGGGAGATAGACGGTGCATAAACTAAAAAATCGAAGTTCGTCGACTAATTTGGAAAAAAAAAATAGTTTGGTGATCATAGTGCACAACGCTATAACTTGGACATTTTTGGGAAGTGTTTATAAGCGGTTTAAATTATAAATAGATATAAATGAGTTGTAGATATGTGGGTAGTGCTTGTGGGTTATGCAAAATGTGTGGACAAAAAGTTACTTGAGTGCTTGGAAATAGTTTATAAACATGAGCCGAACATAGGCTAATATAGTTTCTAATCCTTTAGAAATGATAGAAGTTAGCTGATAATTTAATAGTCTTTGTCCCAATAGTTGCCTGTACCAAACTTTTGATATGCTATTTGTGACTAGCTGCAAAATGAATATTCGTGGCACTTATATGCTTTCAGTTATTTTAGATCAGTCTGTTTCCGATGTTCGTGCATGCAGAAATTGTTAGGGAAACTAATGAAGGAAGACTCATTAAATATTGCATTTCTGTCAACTTATGTCATTGAACCTTTCTGAGTTCATAAATAATGTAAAAATTTATTGACGCAGGTTAAAAACCAAGTTAAAACAATTTGCCGATCAATATTCCCTTTCTGAACAGCAACATGCTCAGAAGGTAAGCACCTTTGAAGTATAGCACTATTTCTGCTTATTTCTAAGATCCAGAAATTTTTTTATTAGCTATTTGTTTTGGTGTGAGCTGAAATTCTGATATGGTTTTTCTTTGCAGTTGAAACAGAAAACACTTGAACTTCAGCTTGCTGATTTGAAGCTTCAGCAACAAGAAGAGAAGCTGAAGCAGGAACAGTCCCAAATGAAATTGTATGCAGAACAAGTGGCACAATTGTTGGCCACTGAAAAGAATTTGAGGTTGCAGTTGACAGCTGATGGTGAAAAATTCCAGCAATTTCAGGTTGGTCTGTTATCTTTACATGTTGCCTAAATGCACTAGTTTAAGAATATCTGGACAACTTTTCAAGCATCACGACAAATTACAAGGTTCTTCCTGGAAATTATGCATCTGACTCAAAAATGCCAGTCTCCTTAAGCGGCAGATGGTACTGCTAAATAAATTGTAGATAATGTACACATTGCTTAATAAATAAAGCAGCCTTCTGTTCTACTACATTATGTCTTAACATAGAGAGTGATGTAGCATAGATAGAGGATAGGCAGCAACCATAGGAAGAAGGAAGAACAGCTGAGAAGAAGTGGAGGAGAAGAACCGAGAAGAGAAGAAAAAGAGAATCAGGGGAGGGAAAGAAGATTTGTGCATCGAACATCATTTTTTATCATTCATCAATTGACTCCTCAAGTTACAATACACCTATATATATATAAGAAAACTAGCAAACCTAAAGCATAGAAGGGCATTGGGCCAGCCCATTAATACAACCCAATTAAACTAATAAAACATAAAATAAATAGTCCACAAGTAGAAGTCCAAAATAGGTGATGTCCTCATCAACTCTCTTGGGATGGGAGGAAAACTCAACTTCGAGTGGACGAATCATAAAAGACCACAGCGGACGATTTTTCTAAAGGACGAAATGTTGAAACTCAAGCTAGATCTAGATTTGTTGGATCTTTTCTCTGACAATCTATATGCAATCAGAATCAGGTCGATCCACCCAACGAACGAGAAAGCATCGAATCTCTCTATCATTGATCAGCACAATCTATTCATCTAAAATGATAACAATTTATCTTTGTGTGCTGCGACAAATGGTATTGGAATAGACACAGGAATAGATTTAGTGTAGGAGCTCCCATGTGGTGGTAAAAAAGAATCATCAGAGGGTTAAAATAGCTTTTGTAAACAACGATATACTTAACAATTAAAATAGATTGGCGGCATTTGCATTTGGACCAACGTGCTTTAAAATTTTTTAAGGACCAACACTATAAACTTGCAATATAACATAATTTCCAGTATTAAATTCAATATGTAATTTATGCGTATCAGTTAGAAGTTTATATGATGCATTACTTGTTTCAAATTGTTTATTAATCTCAAAATGCAAGTCATGAAGATGATGTACAAATACCTCAATTGATATCGACACGCTAGCATGTACGGACATGGACATAAGGTCTAAAGGCTTCTTGGCTTCTAATCATGAATAACTTCAAAGGTACTCATATCTAGAGATCGATTCATAGAATTGATAAATGCAATTTGAAGAGTTGGGATGATCAAATCTCAATTCCTAAGATTTTCCTTGCAAATGGCATGATTACGCAAATCCTCATCACATTTGGTTTGGATAAGGGCACAACATACAATACTTGACTGAGAGTTATTGAGAACAAGGGGTACAATACCTAGATTCATAGGAAAAGTATGAATACTATCTAATGAGGTGTCCTTACTATCATCCAAGTCATCAAATTCTTATAGTTTAGGTTCATAGACTTGATCTTCTGACAGCTCATCTTTTACATCATTTCATTCCTCAATGACTAAGATTGGCTAGAACATTTGGAAGAAATGTGGTCACAGTCCCTATAGTTGAAGTACTGCAAGTGAGAAGAAGTTATTGGAATTTCAAGACCTATCCTTATTTTCCTAGAGGGGACTTAACGAGAGGAAGTAGCGCCGATAAGATAGAATGACGATTGTCAATCTATCTTCTATATGGAGAAAAAAGCTTTGGAATATCATAAACTTTAAACTTATTTTTCCAAAAAGCCTTGCAATTTAGTGCTTGCTTGGTAGTGCTTATAAACTGTAGGTTCTATAGAATGTGTGAATAATAAGTGGGTAGGAAGCTGTGGGTACTACAAAATGTGTGGATAAGAAGTATGTTTAATCAGCTTAAAAAATTAAAGTTTTGCCAAATAGCACTTGAGCTGCAACACCCAAAAATTTCATAAACCTTGGAGTGTTACACAAAACTCAATTTTCTTTGTATTAAATGCAGAACGATAACAATAAATTTCTTTAAAATAAAATGACCGAAATATCCATAAATTTAAACAAAACATGAGAATTGTATCTTAAAAAAACACAATCTCCATACTAATTAAATAACATGTCTTAGAATAAATTAAACTAACTAATAAATTGAAAGACAAAAAAACTTAATGTTTATTCTTCCTTCGATCCACTTGGCAGCCCGCATCGCCATCGTGCCACAAATCGAATCGATTCAATCTAACCTATAAAATTATTGTAACAAAGTATTTAAATATCCAGTAAGATACGTGCAGTTTTCATATATAATTATATAATAATAAAATTTACACTTCATATCACTCTTCTCTTATGGAGTATACAGTGATCAAGCGGCACATTTATCTTAGGTCATCTTTTCCCGTAAGATTTTATCTCTTTCTAAAGAACCCGAAGGCCACCAGTAATTCGTGCATATTTAATTGAATATAAAACTATACAGAAACAAACTACTCGCACGAAGTATCTTATCTTGATTTTGAAAGATTGAAAAGAATAGAATCTTGAATGTAAAAATTTTCCTATTATTTTTTATACTTTTTCCTCTCGTCTCTCTATTTACCCTGGCTATCTTTATTTTCTGTGGTGAAATAATGAGAATTTTTGCAGTATTTATAGTTGAAATTCTCAATTGAGTTTGTATGCAACTAAATTTAAAAAATTGTGAGTATGCAACTAAATTTAAAAAAATTGTGTAATACAAGGAATTTGGATAAGAATTTGTTTCAAATAACAGAATTTGAATTGTATTCAAGTAATGCTTTCATATCAACAACTCACGTGGCATGGGCTAAAAGGAGGAAAAGTTTTGTTTTAAATAATATTCCAAATTCCTTCCAACTTCAGTTAACCTTATATTCTTTTAATCGAATTTAACTTGATGTGATCTTATCCAAAAAAACTTTTTCTTACGTCAATACTTCTAATTATTACGAACTACAAAAAGAGTCCAATATCAATATACTTATCTTGCTCTTTCGAAATCTAATTACCTGGCCAGATAAAAAGAATTAATATTTTTTTCACTTTAGTCCTTCAACATTTCAATATTTTCAAAATATGCCAAAGTTAAAATCCTCACCACTAAATAATTCTTTACTATAAAATTTTGGAATGTCACAAACTCACTCCCTTATAATGAATTTCATCCTCAAAATTTGTACATGTACTACTTTTCGATGCATTTGCAAAACTCTAATTTTGTCTTGACACATTTAAATCCAATTATGCTTAATCTTTTAGTGATAATCTGTCTCATTCCATGTTACATGAACAATATTTGTATAAAATATGAAAAGTTTTCAGCTACTAAATTATGCGAGGTAAACATGTTTGTTACATTTCATTACATGAAGCAAGATGACTCATAATTATGCTAAAAAAATTACATTTCATTTCATACTTTAGATCTATTGGGAAGTGGTTGAATAGTGAGCATCATATGCCAAGGATTACATGTTTAAGACTTTAAAAATTTTACATTGTCCTTAAACTCCTAATGCTTATGAAAATATTTTATTTCTATTTTTATTTGAAATTTCCAAAAATATGATTTTCTCAAAATCGAGTTTCTAAAAATCGAATTTTCTTAACTTTGGTATGGTTTAAAATATTATTTTTCTTATCTTGTTGATTTGAATAACGCGCAACCAAAAAGCTTCTAGATGAGAAGGGGGTAACAAGTGGGCCGCTTAAATTCTAAGCTCTTGTTAGACACTATAAGTCTTTTTGACACAGTCTTTCAATTTTGCGAATACGCAAACCATGAAAACTAAAACAATAAATAGGAAATATATATTTCTAATTGACAAATTCCTATTAAAACTCGTTTATTTGAAACTAATAAAAAAGTCTACAGAAAAGTAAAATCGGGCTCTGATACTAAACTATAATACCCAAAATTTTCGTAAACACTGGAATGTTGACGGAAACTCAATTTTCTTTGTATTAAATGCAGAATGATAAAATAACTGAAATATTCATAAATTTAAACAAAACATGAAAATTGTATCTTAAAAAAAAAATACAATCACCCAACTAACTTAATAACATGTCTTAGAATGAATTAAACTAACTAATAAATTGAAAAATAGAAAAACTTAGTGTTTATTTTTCCTTCAATCCACTTAACAACTTGCATCACCATCCTGTCGCAAATCGAATCGATCTAAACTAACTAATAAAATTATTGTAAAAGTAAGTATTTAAAAATATTTAGTAAGATATATGCAGTTTTCATAGACGATTATATAACAATAAAATCTACACCTCATACCATTCTTCTCTTATGAAGTATATCGGTGACTAAGTGGCACACACATCTTATGTTTGTCAATGGAATATAAGGAAAGAACATAAAGTATCAATCTTTATATTTGGTAGATTATCATTAATGATTATTGCAATTGATAGTTACCATATTTAGTTTGAATTTGGTTCTATATAATAAGAGAACCTCTCATATTGAGCGGCATCAAGTTTTATTGAGTATAATTTTATTTGGGTTGAACTTGCAAGCTTCCATTCTCCGACAAGCAGCCTTGTGCCGTTCTTCCGGTCAAATTTTCTTGTTTTTTGTTTTACTCATTCAAACTCCATGTGCCTTTTTTTTTAACCACAAATCCAACAAAAATAGTCTAGCAGCGTCGCAAGTTCGAGTATAGGCTCAAGCGGCCAAGCCCGCTGACGCAGGATTTCTTAGCCTATATTGACTATGAGAAACAACTCGATGCAAGCGGCCCATCTCAATGGTGGTACTGTGAATGATGCAAGCGGTCATGGGTGTGTGTGGCAGTAAGGCTAATGGCATAGTGGTAATTATGCCATTATAAGTGGTTTTGACTAGTTATAAGAGGCTAGAGGTGGACTCGGAACTGAAAACAGGGATTGTGGTGCTTTGTTTCTTGAATTGGTTAGTTGCATGGTTGAATTTGTCATTGGGTTAGGCGGTTTGATTGAAGGGGTGATCGAAGATAGCGGGAGAGTGGTCGGCGAAGGGGATGTCACCGGTTGTTGGGTGTTGCAGGCTGAGGGTTTGGTGTGTTGATAGTTCTGTTGGGGAAAGGTTTGTGTATGGGCTAGATGTTTGGGTTGTTGGTGCATAGTGGAGGATGGTAATGGCGGTGGCTGTAGATAGTGGCCAAATGTTGTATGGTTGCGGTAGATTAATATGATTTGGTGGTGGCGATTCTAACTTGAAGATGCATGCATTGGAGCATAGAGGTGGCGATCTGAAGCTGGGTTCTTTGACGTGGTTTTCGACCAGCTAGGTTTTGGGGTTTGGTTTATTGGATTGATGGGTTAATGGGCTGGGTATTTATTTGTTGGGTTGGTTTAATTTTTGATGAGATTAATTGGGCTTGGGTTATAGTATTAGCTGGGAATGAAGGGTTAATGGACTGGGAATGGATATTGGTCCTGTTGGTTGATGTTCCAGGTGATTGTCGTGGTTGGGTTGGGCGTGTGTAGTGGGCTTGATGTTGGGTTTTGATATTTTTTTAGTGGGCTTGTTGTCTTTGGGCCAGATGTTAATGGGTAGGATTTACTTTGAGTTGGGCCTGGGTAAAGGAATGTGTGGGTATAACAGAGTTGGGTCTATTAGTGTTAGTGAGTTTTTAGAGTATGTGGATTTGCATTATTCTGCATATGTGGGCTAGGTTAATGGGCTGTGGGTGTTGGTTTTAAACCATAGCAGCAGCAGGACCGTAGGCAACATGGGAGACTGACTTTTTGGTGAAGTTGAGCTTGGAAGGAAAAACTTGGAACTGATAAAAAAATAAAAATAAAAATAAAAATAATCAGTGGTGTCTGACTTGTTTCCAAACCTGAGGTATGCTCTGCTCGAGTCTGGACAATTTCCAAAAATAGATAAATCCTCTATCTTGGTTGATGTAGTTTGTGGGGGTCGGCAGTTTCTGAGAAAGGCAGTTACTGCTAGGTATAGGTTTTGGCTTGTTGATGTAATTGGGCAGTACAAATGGTGGGCTTGGTTATGTCAGATGATTGTGGACGTTAAAGGTTATGGTTGGGGCGCAATTTGCAGCCAGGGATTGGGTGGAGGATAAGTGGGCTGGGTATAGTAGTTGATTATATGTGGGCGAAGGGAATTATGGGAAAGACTGATGGTTATTTATGAAAGTATAGCAGTGTTTGGATGAATGACGGCGAGAGACACGAGAATGCACACCATTGAGTTTTTTGGTTGCTTGGGTGTTGAGCTAGAGTTTTGGATTCTCGGATGAGGATCATCTTGGTTTTTTGGTGTACGCTATTTTGTGGGATTTCTTCCAACTGCAGCATCTTGTTCAACGATAGGTTGTTGGAATTTTAGCTGGTGTATTGGCATTAGAGGTTTTGTCGGCACATAAATTATATGTTCAACTGAGTTCTCTCGACGGATAGAGCTCACTATGTGTATCGGCACACCGCATGGATTTCTTTTGGAAATTCTTCTTGGGAAGTGAACTCTCTGGAGTGTCTTTGGAGCGTTTTTGGTGTGGCTTTGGAGTAGTTCTTGGTTATTTCTACACTATTTGTTATTCTTGGTCTCTTGTCGTCACCAATTTTCGTAGATGGTTGCTTTGATTTGGATTTCTTCTTTGTGGGTACAAGTATTGTCACTGTCGCTAATTCATGATTGCACTAGCATCAATTTGAGGGAATGTCAGTGGAATATAAGGAAAGAATATAAAGCATCGATCTATATATTTAGTTGGTTATCATTAATGAATATTGTAATTGATAGTTCCATATTTAGTTGGATTTTGGTTTTACATAATGAGAGAATCTCTCATATCAAGGGGCATCGAGTCTTATTGAGTATAATCGATAATGTTATCTTAAATTCCTTTCAGATACCTCTTTTTAAAGAACCCAAAGGTCCACTGGTAATTCATGCATATTTAATTGAATATAAAAGTGTACAGAAACTAACCACTTATATAAAAATATTTTACCTTGATTTTGAAAGATTGAAAAGAATAAAATCTTGCATGTAAAAATTCTTCTATTATTTTTCTATACTTTTTCGTTTCCTCTCTTTATCATGGCTATCTTTATTTTCTGTGGTGAAATAATGAGAATTATTGCTGTATTTATAGTTGAAATTCTTAATTGAGTTTGTATGCAACTAAATTTAAAAAATTGTGTAATACATGGAATTTGGATAAGAATTGATTTCAAATAATAGAATTTGAATTGTATTCAAGTAATACTTTCATATCAACAACTCACGTGGCATGGGCCAAAAGGAGGAAAGTTTTGTTTTAAATCATATTCTAAATTCCTTTCAACTTCATTTAACCTTAAATTCTTTTAATGGAATTTAACTTGATTTGATCTTATCCAAAACAACTTTTTCTTAGGTCAATACTCCTAATTAATTACGAACTACAAAAAGAGTTAAAAATATCAATATAATATACTTATCTTGCACTTTCAAAATCTAATTACTTGACAAATAAAAAGAATTAATATTTTTTTTTTCACTTTAACATTTCAATATTATCAAAATATGCTAAAGTCCAAAATCCGTACCACTAAATAATTCTATACTATAAAATTTTGGGACGTTACATGAGCAATTTAAGTTTGTGCATATAAATAGCTTGTAACGCTATGAATTATAACATAAGATATGCAGTTCAGTTTTTCTCATAGTTCTTCATAGTTAATATTTCTATGTTGCTTTCTAGGAGTTCTCTATGGGTTAAATTAATTTCTACATATTCAACTGCAATGCAACTCACAAATTTGTGTACTAAAATTTGCATTTCAGGTAATCAGGTCAGGCCGCAGGATTTACACATTCATTATTAATTGCTAGCTTAGCTGTTGTAGGAACTGCAAAAGAAGCATAGTGGTTATGACGATAAAATCTGTAGTGAATTGAAGCAAAAAATTAATATCTAGACGATGAAGGATAAATTGGACACAGTTAGTGCATGCCTTGGCATCGTTTTGTTAGTCTCACGTGGTTTTAGTAAATCATGGTGTTTGGGTCCTGTGGGTGATTAGTCTGACTCTGGTAGTTTCACCCTTTTGCCAGGAAGCTTTGCTGAAAAGCAATGAAGTTTTTGAAACATTTAAGCAAGAAATTGAGAAGGTACGTACAGATTCAAATTCATCTTATGTTCTGAAGTAACTTACATTTTTTCATTTCAAAACAACGCAGTCATGCAGATTTCTTTTGGAAAGAAAAAAAAAAAAAACAATTACGTGTATTTTTTGTTTTAAAACTAGATGTCAAAATCAATGAAAGATCTCAAAAAGGAGAACACCTTCTTGAAGAGCAAATGTGACAAAACAGACGTTACTCTCATAGAATTTGCTAATGAGGTAAGATTTGCTCATACTTACATTAAACAAGAACTTCCTGTGGTAGGATATATACAGTTTTCATTTCTTAAAATGATTCTCATTTTTTCTTTGAGTGGATCCAAGAATAGATAATATACTTGACCGTAAAGTCAACATAGTGAGGGAGCTTGATAGATCTGTCACCAGCTCAACCATGAGCTTGAAGTGTTTGAATTTGGGGATTTTCTAAATATTATAAAGTTGGGAACACCTTGAAGATGTAATAAACTTGACAGAATCTTTGGCATTTAAGAGAAGTAAAGCTGATGGTGCTTCTTAGTTTTTGCTAGCCAAGACATTCTTCCTCGACTAATTGCCTTTCCTTTTTATGCTATTCATGAAGATGTGATTGAACTGTGGCGTTTGAGGCACACCAGATGAATTTCCTCATGACGCACAAAAAAGATGCACCTAAAACAGAGTTAGCACATTGCCAGCATTAACCCCTACCCTGCCCCACCCTAAATCATACCAAAATAACTGCAGTTTAGATATCACCCCCGCCTTCCCTTGCTCTCCAACCTTGCACGTAGTTTCTGGATTCTGCATCTCTTTGGAGATATCTGTGAATGGGAAATGATAAACACTCCTACATATCACTAAGCTTTAATACTTTATAGTTTTTATCATGCTAGTTGTCTTGAATTAATAATTACGAAGTATGCATTTAAATTCATTCTTTGAGCAGCGGGAACGCTTGAAGAAGCAACTGGAGAAAACACGAAATCAGAAAGAAAAACTTGAATCATTATGCCGGTCACTTCAAGCTGAGCGGAAGGCAAATTCTGTTAAGGCTAATAGCTCGGATTCAGTTCAAGTTTAAACTATTGCCATTGGAGTATGTATGAATCTTGCTGCATCAGTTAGCATCCTAGATTTGTGAAACGAACTTCAATATACCATAGTTTCATTTTTGAAAGTGAATTTTCCTGTATTTTCAAGTAAAGATGTCCTTGCAAATTTTTGGTGCTCATAAATGGATGTTTGGTAGGGTTTCAGAATGTATCCATGTAAAAATGTAAGGCTAATACTTTATAATTACCTTGTTTACTTTAATCTGTGCTTCTTTTACTTGGTTATCATGATTTGGACATTCGTGGTGTCAATTATTGTTCGTTTTTCATTTACTTGGGTTGCATGATTATAGGATCCGTGACTGAAATGTCTTTTTGTTTGTGTTGGTGTGTCCTTTTTGTTTGGACATGCTGTTGGAAATAAGCCATTTACGTACTCAAAACTGCTCTTATTTAGCCAGAAACTAGAAGCAGACGACGGCAAATTAAGCTATAACTTCAGGTGGTGGAAGTTATCGTATTTTTGAAGAATATGTATATGTGTGTGTTGATGTGGCATAATACAAGAATGGGTACTATTGCCTACCTTGGTATACAATTGTGCTACACTGTCAAATAGGTTGACATAATGCTATATGACATTTTATCATTAAACTGTTTAATATCCAATCAGCTTTTTCATTTAATCATTTGTTGTTACTAACACATCTATCATTGCATTTGTCAAAATCTTTTTAGCAAAGTGACATAATCCCTTGGTATAAAGTGCACCTAATGATCTTCACCAGAGTAGCCCTATGGAAGTCCATCATGAATTTAACAAGTGGGATTCTCCTCTAAAAGAAGGTTGTAATTGTAGGATGTGGGGTCCATTGTTATCTAGCTTAATGTCGCATCTTGCAAGTTTACCAATCATGACAATTAATAAAGTGAACGATTGAATTTGAATATCGTTCCTACATAGATTTAATACTTGCTCTTAGGTTTTATCATAATCTAGTTTCAATCTAAGTTAGTATAGATACATTTCCGTGAAACTGAATCTTCAGCTTCGTCGGTTAACAAATTAAAATTTTTGGCATACTTAACCCTTGTTTGGTAGGGATTAAAGTTAATGATAAATTTTAATCACATATTTTATGGGATTCACAAATTTTTAACCATGTTTATCAAATTTTACCAAAATTCTAATTTTGATCCTCAACAATTAGGGCTTAAATTATATTACACTAAACAAACTTACTCATTAGATATGAATCGCATTATTCAAGTTCACCCGAAGTATACAAAATAAAGCTGTAAAAATTTAATATTTTTTACTCATAACTAAACCTAAATTAATCACGCACAATCATTTCATGCAGATTAAATTAAATAAAAATTTAAAATTTTTTATATCAAACTTAAATTCTACATTGTCCTCAATGTATCACTATAAAGTGCAAAACATAGATTAATAAAAGAGATAAATTTTAGACTTGTCGGTTAAGTGTTGAATGATGAAAGTGGCGTTGAAGCTTGCAAAATCTTTCCCTTTCCTTTCCTTTCATTTCTCCTTCATCATAAGGGATCTCTTATTTTAGTGCCAGTTTTCCTACAATTTAATTTATTAGAAATATTAGCAACAATTAACAAGTAATAGTGATCATGATCCCAAAAGAATAATTCAAAGACATCAACTACTTATTACATTTACTTTAATTCAATGAAATAAATTTGTCAGCGTGTGAATTTTCATGTCTAATTATGAAGGAAGGGAAGAGTTTTGAAATTATATATATAATTTTTAAAATTAATTTTTTTTAAGGTTTGACTGTGGCAAACAGGGGTTTTGGAGTGATCGCGGCTTATCGTGGGTTTGCAAACCCTACCGTCTGTCTATCTGGTCTCAAGATTTTGATGAGGATCAAGAGTCGACCTTGGTTCCAGTTTGGCTATTTCTTCCAAGGTTGCCGTCTCACTATTATCACGAATCAATTCTTCGTATTATTGGAGGAGCCTTTGGCAGATTCCTAAAGAGGGATAATTTTACAGCCTGTGCATCTTGCACGGATCGTGCTCGGATTTGTGTAGAGATGGATATCTCTAAACCGCCATTGAAATCCTTTTGGCTAGGCTCTCCATTTCATGAATCTAGCAGATGTCAGAGGGTCATTTATGAGAAGCTCCCCACCTACTCTGGTCATTGTAAAGTGCAAGGACACTCGATAATTAACTACAGAAAATTGAAAGCTAAAGAGGACAATAAAAATCAGGATTTAAAGAAATAAATGCCCAGAGGTAAATTGTGGAGGAAAAAGGAAGCTGTTTAGGATACTTTAAGGGAACAAAACAGAGATGAGGTGAATGCACCATGAAACATAGGGAAAAATTGAATCTATTGAAGAGGAATAGACTGATCCCTTCGACATCTATCTTATATGCAAATTCTTCAGGCACTGTGAATCAAAGTTTGGCTGAAAATTGTGACATTAGAATGGATAAGCAGGTTGTTGAGGATGAAGACATGGACCGTTCTCAGGCTGCGGCTGAAACAGGTGCTCTGTTACTGAACAAGGAGGCGGGAAATATGGCTAATGTGGCACAGAAAGGGAGATTTGTGGTAGAAGATAAAGGCAGGGCAGATGATACACAATCTGATAGATGTGGTGATGAAGTAAATACAGATGTGGAAGTTACAATACCAAGTGTGTTGGGGGATGAACTAGGAGTGTCAAATGAATTACAGCTGGATCAGGCAATTGCGAAGGGTGATATAGGGGCAATACAAGATGCTCTTGTGATGGATGTACAGGACAACATAGCTGACAAAGTGATTCGAGAAGATAATATGGAGCTGTATGATCAAAATAATGCTCAAGGGGCTACTAATGACACTGGACCAGAGGTGATGGTTAGGATAGGAGAGGAACCGACAGTTACAACCCTATCTCATTTTGAAAACAGTACTCACCTTAAGAGATAAATGAGGAGGAATTTGGATATAGAACGAACACTTGAGGGGGCTGAGCAACAGCCGGACCTAACTATGTTTGATGTTGATCCAGATAATGAATTAGAAGAGCTTGCTATTGTTACGTATGAGACAGAACCAGAAACATTAGCCTCAACGAAACGGAGGCGGGGAGGTAATAGGAAGAAGGTGGTTTTGGGAATAACCACAAGATCAAATTTTTTTTTATTAATATGATGAATGTCATTATCTGGAATGCTAGAGGGGTTGTATCATCAAAGAGTCATTTAATGCAGTTAAATAAACAATATAAACCTTCCATCTTGGGAATTCTGGAACCTTTTGTATCTTTGGAAAAAATTGGTCGTTGGGCAAGGAACTTAAGGTTTGAAAACTTTTGTACTAATATGGATTATGGCGGTAAAATGTGGCTTTTTTGGTCTTCCGATATAGAATTTGATCAGATTCAGGTGTCATCTCAAATTCTTTCTGGATGGTTTTCTAGAGATGGAGTTCGTGTTCTTGGCTCCTTTGTATATGCTAATGTTCTCCAAGTTCATAGGAGAGAGCTTTCGGACCAGCTACGTGATCTAGATTGTGGTGGGGATGCTTTGTTCGTTGGAGGTGATTTTAATATTGTGCGGTCTGACGAGGAACATGTGGGGGGTTTGTTGCCCTCTACAAGTGGAAAGTTTGAATTTAATAAGGCTATTCATGATGTGGGTTTGATGGATATTCCTTTTGATGGTCCTAAGTTGTCGTGGGGTAATGGTAAACAGGGACTTCATCGTATATGGGCGAGACTGGACAGGATTCTAGTTAACCAACCGTTCAAGAATCAGTTCCAAGAGGTTTCCTTATCTTATCTGGATAGAACCTCATCTGATCATTGTCCCATGGTTCTGCGTTGCATGGAAGGAGAAGAGTTACATGGGCCTAAACCTTTTCGCTTCCTTAGGATGTGGTGCACGCATGAAGGCTTTTTGCCATTGGTCAAACAGGTGTGGAAAATGAAAGTTGATGGCTCTCCTATGGTCAAGATTTCTAGGAAGTTGCGGGCATTAAAAATTTACTTACGTCAATGGAATGCGGAGGTGTTTGGAAAAGTTCAACAGGAATTGGGTTATATGGAGGATAAGTTGACCCATCTTGAACATGCTCTTATTGAACACCATTCACAAGAGACCGAAAGGGAACTATTTCAATGTAGACAGAAACATTCAGCATGGCTTCAATGGAAGGAGATTTTTTGGAAACAAAAATCTCGTATTAAATGGCCGATGGAGGGAGATTCTAACACTAAGTTTTTCCATGCTAGTGTTAGAAATAAAATAAAAAGTTTGAGGATTGACCATATGGTGTTGGAGGATGGGTTGGCACTACATTCTGCAGATGAAGTGCACGAAGGAGCAATTCAATTTTTTCAATCATTGCTATCCGTCTCCCCTGTGAATGTGGTAGATTCAGAAATGGAACTTTTACAGCCAGTCATTGTAGCAACAGATAATGTCTCTTTGTGCAAAATGCCAGGGCTGGAAGAGGTTAAAGAGGCTTTATGGTCCACTCCTAGTGATAGTAGCCCGGGACCTGATGGGTTTAGTGCCAGTTTTTTTGTTCATGCTTGGGACATTGTCAAAGAGGATCTATTGGAAGTGGTGAAAGAATTTTTTGGGGGTAGGCCATTGACTACGGCTCTGGGTGCTACTAACATTGTCCTCGTTCCTAAGGTGGAAGCCCCTAGCAGTTTCGCTCAGTTTAGCCCATCAGTTTGTGCTCTGTGATTTATAAGGTGTTGTCAAAGATTATGGTCGCTAGATTAGCACCCCTACTTGAGGGGATCATTGCACGCGAACAAGCAGCTTTTGTTCGTGGGAGAAGCATCTTTGATAATATCTCTATAGCACAGGAGATGGTGCATGATTTACACAAAAAGGCGAGAGGTCATAATATATTGATGAAACTTGATATGACAAAAGCATATGACAGGGTCAATTGGAGTTTCTTACTGCTTGTTTTAAAGAAATTGGGTTTTTCGGAGGAATGGAGGAACCTCATCTTCAACTGTATTTCATCGCCATTTTTTTCCATCATGCTCAATGGAACGACGAAGGGTTTTTTCAAACCATCTCGTGGGTTGAGACAAGGTGACCCATTATCACCTTATCTCTTTATTTTGACACAGGAAATGCTCTCAAGGTTGATTAATCGAGATGTTGGTAATGGATTAGTGATACCTTTTCATGCAAAAGGAATGGTGGTTCACCATTTAGCATATGCTGATGATTTACTACTATTCTTCAATGGTGGTAAAAAATCGATAAGTAAAGTAATGGGGACTATAAGGCTGTACGAGTCTTTATCAGGGCAGTTAGTGAGTAAGGAGAAATCAATTTTGATTTTTTCGAAGCATATTACAAACTCTAGAAGAAGGAGTTTATTGGCTCTTACGGGGTTCCGAGAAGGTGGTTTGCCATGTACATATCTGGGGGTTCCACTTTATACAGGACGACTGACTGTTCATTTGTTTGATCCGTTGGTTGCGAAAATTCAAAAGAAGCTGGCAGGATGGAAAGGGCGACTTCTCTCCTTTGGTGGTAAGATCACTTTAATTAAACATGTTCTTTGTAGCATGCCGATTCATATCTTATCTGTGTTTAATCTTCCAAAGGGAATTCTTTATGTCCTGAATGGCATATTCTCCTCCTTCCTTTAGGGATCATCATATGGTAGTAAGAGGCGGAAATGGGTATCTATTTGTTTACCGATGGAGGAAAGGGGATTAGGTATTCGAGATCTAAAATAAATTCAAACTTCCATGTTCATGAAATTTGCTTGGAAATTAGTAGTGGGAGGTTCTTTTTGGTCTGATTTCTTTCAAGCCAAATATGTGAGATCGAAACCTATCAGCATGTTGAAGAGCTCCCCCACTCAATCCCGATTTTGGAGAGGGGTTATTGCAGTGCTCCCTATTGTTTTACAAAACTCCTTGCGGGGCATTCGAGGTGGTGATGCTAGTTTTTGGTTTGATCACTGGGTTGGAGAGCAACCTATTGCTGATTTGGGATTGAGGGTGATGGAACCAAGTCTAAAAGTTAAGGATGTGTTGCATACCTCAGGTTGGGATTATCCTCGCCTATGTGAATTGGTTGGGGAGAATGTGGCTAATGAAATTGTGATGTCTGGGATTCAATTGCGTGAGGGGAAAGATTATTATGTGTGGCAACCAAGTACGAATGGGAAGTTCTCTACAAAGTCAACCTAGGAACTTATTAGGCAAAAGGGAAATTTCTGCCCATGGAAAAAATGGTTGTGGCATTGTATGGTTCCCAAAAAAATGTCTTTTTTATGCTGGAGGGCTAGAAAAGGATGTTTACCTACTGATGAAATTATCCAATCTTTAGGGATTCCTTTGGCATCGAAATGTGATTGTTGTAAGGTGTTTGTTGTGGAATCTGTTAATCATACCCTATGTACAGGAGACATCGCTTTGAGAATATGGAAATATTTTGCCTCTCATCTTAACTTATGTTTACCACATGTGATCTCTTGGAAGGGCATGATGCAAGTTTGGTGGTCTCATTCCTCAAGTTCGACACAGCTTGGGATATTACGAGGTATCACTCCTATCATAATCTCTTGGACTCTATGGAAAGTATGATGTAGCGCTAGAATGGAAGGAATCCCTACCCAATGGCAAAGAGTGATTTGGATGGTTAAAAATGTTGTGACGGATACTGCAAGCCTTATTTCGAAGGTTCAAAGGTTATCCTATGGTGATGAACGCTGCTTGATTGCACTTCATTGTCCTGTTGCGCCCACGAAATCTGTTCAAGCAATTCCTATTTCTTGGAAAAAACCTCCACATTACAGTTTCAAATTAAATGTTGATGGAGCTGCTAGAGGAAACCCAGGAAAAGCTGGGGGTGGAGGACTGATCCGTGACTCCCAAGGAAAATTTGTTGTTGGTTTTTCACACCACTATGGCGTGTCTTCGAATGTAAGTGCTGAGGTTTTTGCTCTTAGAGATGGTCTACATTTATGTCACGATTTGGGTTTTTACGGGGTTATGGTGGAATCGGTGGTGCAATGGGTTATGAAGGGCAAATGCTCTATGTGGAGTTTGTATGATGTTTGGGAGGATGTCATGGGTTTGATTGGTAAGTTGGATGCGTGAGTGTCCCACGTCTTTAGAGAAGCAAATATGGCAGTGGATTTTCTTGCTAAGGAAGGTGCGGGTGGTTCTGACTTGGAACTTCACTCTCCAGATATTTTGCCAATGATCCTCTTTGGCATTTTGAGAACGGACAGATGGGAACTTCCATACCTACGAGGTTAACGATTTGTAGGTTTTTTGTTTTAGTTGTTTTGAGATGTAATCACGATTTTTCCTCCACCACAAGTGAGGCATTTATTTGAATAATAAAATTTAAATTAAAAAAAAAAAGTTAAACTTTGGCCAAGTATTGATAATGGTAGCTCAAGTCGGAATTTGCAGACCTTGCACTCCTTGTAATTTTTAGTCTTGCATCCTTTTTTTGCTTTCCAAACTTTTAATTTCCCCATTCTCATCTCTACTAAGAAATTCTACCAAAATTTAATTTTCTCTTTTAATATATTTGTTGATAGATAGATAATCTTCATCAACATAGTTTAACTACTCGAGGTCTAGAAATTACTTGGATGATGCGTTAAATTTGAGAACTTCTTGCTCATCTTCCTTCCAACCTCAAGATCGGCTAACATTTCTCCACGTTAATCAAGGTTCCATCAGTTGCTAAGAATTTTCGATCGAAGATAATTGGAATACCCCGATCTTCTTCTATGTCAAGAACAACGAAGTTCTCCGAAATATCAAAATTCCAGTATTAAGTTAATGCTACCACTTGTATCACATAAATCATTAAAGGAACGTGCTTCTCAATTGAAATAGGTAAAATAAAACTCTCTGGATCTTTTAGTTTAGAAGGTAGTTCATCTTGTATTCTTATGTTGATCTCATTTATCAGTGCCACAGCTTCAAATTCTAGAAGTTTTTCTCTTCTTTGGTATGATGTCCTTCAAGAATCTTGCATGACTTAGATATTCCTTTTCATCTTAATGAACGGGAGACTGATGTGAAGCAAGCACATCCAGAAGCTTTTAAAATTGTTGTTCTTGCTTTTGTTTCTTTTAACTTATGTAGAAACGTAATGGCAATCACATATTCATTAACAGGAGTGACCACTTTAGCTTGTGGAATATCTAAATTTGCCTTCACTCTATCATCTTTTATCTTTTTGGATCCTTCTAATTGCTCTTCGTAAGCAGTAGGCACTTTTGCAACCTATCACTTGACTGTAATTTTTGGCAATTGTACCACACTCCATGTAGTAATTGCATTAATCCATTCCTCCTCCATCTACTTTTGAAGTTTTTGGGAAAACATAATTAGAGGTACATATTCCTATGACTTTGTAGCTCTTTTTTTTTTTTTTTTTTTTGGCTACGGGCTGTCAATCATCTTCAACAACTCTAATGGCTAGCACTTAGTCCTTCAGATTAGTTTCGATTGGTAAAGCAGTTTGAAGCCTCCCAAAAATATCACGAGCTAGATGCCCTATTTGAGTTTTCTCACACTTCATGGCTATCAAATTATTTTGAAGGATTGTTTCAATCTTTAACATGAACTGCTCAATTCTCTTCACATTTTGACCTGTATTGTTCAAGAATTTATGCAACATCTCCTTAAATGAAGATTTATTCTCTTGCTGTTGAAACATAGGGTATGACTGTTGATTATTGTTTTGGTTGTTGTCCCAAAAGAAATTAGAATGACCACACGAACCCAGATTGTATGTATTGATATAAGGGTTATTTTACTGATGCTGAAAGTTATGTACATCATTCACTTCCTCTGTTGTATTTTGATATTCCTTATTGTTATGAGCACCACCAAATATTCGACAAACTAAGAATTTTTGTTTGCACAGCATTTGTTGAATTCAGAATGGACAAATAATCCATCACATTCTTTTCCAAAGTAGAAGATATTTGTGCTGATAGTTTGGAGATAGCGTCTATTTCACGTATATTTGATCACTTTTTGTATGTGGCTCTTTTGGAAGGCCACAAGGCTGCGTTGGTTGCCATGGTCTTATATAATTCCTCAACTTCATGGGTAACTTCAATCTGATAGACCCATTTGAAGCTGCATCCACTGATGTGTGGCATGATAGGTTCAGTCCAGTGTAGAAGTTATTGAACTTGAAAAGATTTCTTAATACCATGTGTGGGACTGATGAGAATCATGGAGGGTAAGCTAGTAAGAATCCATCACATGTTTTGAAGGGGTCGATAACTAGGCTAAGAGCAAAGAAGATCAAGGAAGCCATACAAGTACTAGTCAAAGCCAAATGGGCCGAGAGTTCAAGTACAATGAGCAAGATACCAAGTTTCAAGATGAGCAGAAAGAAAAAAGATGTACGAAAATGCACATGACGTTTAGCTTACCTGTCGAATTTAATCTGTTAGATAATAACGTTATCAAACCTTCAGGGTCAAATTCCATTGTTTAAAAGCCCATTTTAGGTTTTTTTTTTCCATTTTGAGTAAATATAAGGGTATTTTTGTTATTTTATCATGTTTATCAAGTTTTTTTTAGTTTAAGCCAAACTCTATTGTTTTACAAGTTAATTAGGTTTGTTTGAGTCTATAAAAGGTTTTATTAATTGTACAACATTAACACATTATTTTGAGAAATTATTATAAAATGGGGATTCGCTTACAATCTTGTTCTTAACTG